CATCCCACGACGCTTAATTCGTCCAAAATTAGGATAAAACAACGCACGTTGTGCTTAAAATTCACGTCGATCGACGGCACCGCGAGCAGCCGCGCGAGCTTTTCCAGCTGTCGGTCCACGCACGCAATCGTCAGCGGCGGCAATTCGCCCTAGTTTTGGTCGTAAATATATGCCTTTATAGAGGTATTCGAGTACCACGTCGCTGTTGATGTTAAAGTGGGGATGGGCCAGCACCATCTCGACAATGTCCATGTCTTGTGCAGCACAAAGTGCCTAATTCTGATGGTAAAAGTGGCACTAAAGTGATGCAATTAGTACGTTGCACAGCTGACGGGGGTCCAATTGCGGCAGCGACAGAAGGAACCGGACGACTTCGGCGTGGTCGCTCTGGCACGCCAAGTAGAACGACGACACACCGTGCTATGCATCCATATAATACTCGGATGTATTATATATATATATATATATATACCGGAAACATGTCGATGTCGTCGTGGACGCCATAGTTGACGTCCACATCGGTCGATTCCACCAAGTACCGCACCACGTCCAAGTGGCCATGCAAGCAGGCTTCGGAAAAGCCCTACATTGATATCAATATATTTATCACTCAATATAATCCAATAAATCCACTATATGGGATAAATATTTTAATAATATTTCAAACGAACGTAGTTGAGGTCCTCGACGGGGATGCCACTGGCCACGAGCAGCGCCACCATGTCTTTTTTATCTGCGCGACACGCCGTGGTGAAGCCGCCCACTCGGATGTCCTATATATATGTATTGTTGGTTTTCACAAATATAAATATATATATAATATATAGCGCACTAGATTGTCTTCTTCGAGGGTCGTGGCAAGATGCGCGAGCACGGCCGAGACCACGTCCATGTGATCGTTGAGAATCGCTTGGTCGAAGCCAGAGATGAGCTAGTTACAGTTATCGTCCTCCGGTGGGTTCATCTCAAGTCGCACCTCCAACTCATCTTCCATCGCCATACCAAAGCTCAAGTCCAGGTCGGCGTGACACGTGAGCAGGAACGTCACTAGCTCCGCGTAGCCCCCCTTGCAAGCGAGGCAGAATCCCTACAGTCACGTCATTTCCCCTACACTTCCGTACACTTGGGCGGACGCACTGCGTTGATGTCGCTGCGGTCGATCGTGGGCTGCGTCAGCAGTGTCTTGACGACCTCCACTTGGTTGGCTTCGCATGCGGCCATGAGCGCACTGTAGCTGAACTAGAACCATCACGTAGGACGAGAGAATGACTTGGACGCGCGTACGTACCGCGTTCTTGTAGTTGAGATCCAGGCTGGGCTCGGCCAAGAGGCGGTCCACGTGGAGATTCAACACACACGCCATGATCAGGGGTGTCATGCCGTTCTAGACCGCGTATCGATATGCATGATGTACATAGAAGGACGTCGGGGCGGCCTCAGGTGTATGTATGCACGTACCTGAGTCTCAAAGTTCACATTCGTCTGCGTTCGCGAGGGACTGTCGAGGTGGTTGAGGAAGTCCAGCATCAATTCGTGCTCGATGTCATCTCCAAGCGGAGCTGTGTCTTGCACCTAAGCAGCAGCAGCAGCATGTTATCTACTTTGTCCATGCACATGGCTGCGGTGCCGTACCCCAGATTGGTCCTCCAACGGATCCGCGGTCGGACAGAACGCATTCGGGCGGAGACACATGATGCAATGTCAAATTATACGGATTGCAAGCCCACAAGCCAACCAGGCATGGCCATACCAAATTATCCGGATGATTCGTTTGTTCGGATGTAAATCGTGCCGTTATCCGGATAAAATTATGAGGATTCTAATTGGATGACACTATTTCACCATTTCAAGTGTCTATTGCCACCGTTTGCAGAGAGCACGGCGCCACGTCATGCGACGGCCATGGGTCCTGCAGTTTGGTCGAGTTTTATTTGTATAGCAGTCGTCGCGACAGCATTTCGAGTAACTTGATATCTATTACCACATTGATATATGTGAATGCAATTCGGCCAAGTTAATCAACAAGAATGTATCGACAATCTCGTACTCCTCACTCAATCTGGCGAAGCTACCACAAATATGCTATCCAAATCACGTTGGCCACAACAACGAGGACAAGAACGAGGGTAGTAAAGCGATGGACAAGATGCTCGACCAAGTCTAGGCCTGCACCTGAAGAATGTCCAAGTAGTAAGTACTGTACTTTGGCATGTTAATGAAATTCTTGCTTCACGGGTTGGTGTTTTCGTGGCTTAGACGTGAGACTACATATGTACTGGTCATGTTTGATAACAGTTCGCATTGTTGAAACTCTATTGTGTCGAAATGGAAATGGCGTGAATCAGTTGTGCGTCGTACGAAATGTACCGGAAATAACCTGAACTTAAACGAAAAATGGTGTAGTCACTTCATTCGCTATATTCAACTGTACCGCACAAACAACAGGTCATCATACTATAGTTAGTTGTCATAATATATACTACTTCTCCAACTTGTCATGGTGGAGTATGGTTCTTCTATCGAGTAACGTTATGGTTCTTCTGTTATTCGTGTTACTTGTGCTATAACGAGGTCTTGGTCGGGTACGTGGTTGGGCTGTTGGGTTTTTGTCGTTTCTATATAGTGTGAATAAAAACCTCTGAAACCACATCTTTTATGAACCCTACAGCCACAGGTTCTCTGGAAATCGATGGCTTCTGGTGCATGTGCTGCCGTAAGATGGCGATCACAGTCACGTGTTTGCCACAGTCGCCACCGCCATGGCCGTCGTGCCTCTCTACAGTCAGTTTCAATATTAATATATTCTCGAAAACGAACAATCAGCCCATATTCAATGTATCAGGGAATAATATATATATTAATAGCTTGGACCAACCGCGCTTTTGCAGTGCACGTCCACACTCGGATGCCCCAGCAAGAGTTTGACGACTTCAAAATGCCCAAACGCACACGCTTGCACTAACGACACGTACGGCATCTACAAAGATATATAATATATATATATAAAGTTCGCGTGATACATGTATAAATATATTTAGCATACCCCTTGGACAGCATTCACTTCAATGGCTGGGTGCTGTAGAAGGACGCTAACTACAGCTTCGTGGCCGTGGCCACACGCCACCACAAGGCACGTCACATTCTCCTACACCAACAGATAGAACAAATATTTATAAATATGGATGGACTTCAATATAACTAAATATATAACGACATCATAAGGACGACAGAGTTACATACTCGATCTGGTATTGCCATCAGCGCATTTACATTGACTGGATGGGGGGATGTCTGCAACAGATATCGCACGATCGTGGCATGCCCAGTCTGACACGCCAAAAACAAACCCTAGAGAAATATTTATATATATTATATATTTCACCAAATCACAGAATTGTACCAGTTCGACGTGAGCAGAGTCCAAGGCAGGGCACGCCAGGAGCAACTTCACCACCTCCAGACGCCCGTGTGCACACGCGACCCCAAGCGCCTACTCACC